CGCATACAACGATGCAGATCATACAGCGCATACAAGGATGCAGATCATACAGCGCATACAAGGATGCAGATCATACAGCGCATACAAGGATGCAGATCATACAGCGCATACAAGGATGCAAATCATACAGCGCATACAAGGATGCAGATCATACAGCGCATACAAGGATGCAGATCATACAGCGCATACAAGGATGCAGATCACACAGCGCATACAAGGATGCAGATCATACAGCGCATACAACGATGCAGATCACACAGCGCATACAAGGATGCAGATCATACAGCGCATACAACGATGCAAATCATACAGCGCATACAAGGATGCAGATCACACAACGCATACAACGAGGGGGGAGGGGGTGTGGGCGTTCGCTTCCTGCTGGCCGGGCGCTGACATGGGCGCTGTCCTTGAGCTGAAATGAATGAGTGAATTCCATCTAATTCATGATGAATTAGATGGAATTACAACTATAATAATAGGAATGATTGCTAATACAATTACCGTTGACACAGAGCGGTGGCAGTATTCACTACAATATTGTACGATGAAAATTAGTTCAAGGCTCCAATGCTAATGTTAATTAATTCAATTAATTGTTAATTCAATGTCCAATGTTAAGTCAAGGCTTGCCTGTTAAGTTGTAGACAATATAACTTCGTACATCCAAACACTGCCGAGACATGAACCGAACTGTTCTATGGTCTCTTCAATTTTAGTGGCAAAATTTTGAGCATATAAATAAAACTGAGTTTAATTTTTCATAGACTTTAGTGTATTCTCTTATTCGCATAAATGTGAGATGTCAAATGGCCCGTCATGGCGGTTTTTTTCTGGCTTCTAAATGACCTACAACAAGAGTCTGGTGAATGCGGCATTGAACATACAGACTCGACGCTGTAGCGCACACAGCAGCTCTGTGTGTCACACACATGAAACATTCACTTGACGTTTGTATGTTATTTGTACGTTACGTGAATATTATCGTGATACTTCATTCGATGAATTACACTCTTGATTTTACTCTTTCAGCATGAGGAATCTGTTTGCACAATTTTCATGTAATAGGCATAACCCTTGTATTTATTTCACTCCTCAAAAATGGGCATATTCAAGTTGAAGTTTAAAAATATTCATATTAAAATAATGTACATCAAGATAATATATTAAAACCATTTCAAGCGAGTATTGTATTGTTCTATAAGAGAATATTATAAAAATCGCTAATTTTTTTATCACGATGTGGAATTGTGGACAAAAACAGTAACTACTTCAAGATTTAATTTCTTGTTGACGTCGGTCGTGTATTATAATTTCTTAAGTATGATAGTAACAAGGAATCCTAACAGACTTCAGTTACAATCAGACATTTTGGTAAATTAATTCGAATTAATTACTTCAATATAGATTTTAAAAGTTGCTGGTCCGTATTTCTCTGCAAGCATTTATGATGCTGCTGCATAGGTATAAATTAAATGATGCTGCTGCATAGGTATAAATTATAGGTATAAATTATGATGCTGCTGCCTAGGTATAAATTATAGGTATAAATTATGATGCTGCTGCCTAGGTATAAATTAAAAGTGGCGCAGATATTGTAGAAGGTAGGAATCCTCTTGATTATAAGTAAGGTAGAGATGGTGGAAGGTGGATATTGTTTAGTTTATAAGTGTGGTATGCCCGCCAATAATAATAATTGGTAGTCGTGAAAATAAAGAATAAATACCATCTATAGTATATGTGGTTGATGAGTATAATCTAACATTTTTATCCGAGGTTAATATATGATATCACAAGTTTCATGCAAGCAGTATGTCTAATAAGGATTTTTTATCTCTAAGCCAATTAAGATTTAAATGTAGCTAATGAATTCTTCTGGAAAATTGTTCTCTGTAGTTATATACTGTAGGTAGCTAATTTGTTCATTCAATGCATTTATCGCCTGGCTGACGATGTAGCAGGACGTGAAAGCTACATTTACAAAACTTTGGGTTTCTGCCAGCGGGCTCTAGGATGGAAGTAGAATAGAATAGAATAGAATAGAATAGAATAGAATAGAATAGAATAGAATAGAATAGAATAGAATAGAATAGAATAGAATAGAATAGAATAGAAGAAATAGGCCCATGGCCTGTTGCCGATTCTTGAACTTTTCGTGACTTGATCACAAGGGATCCGGCCTTTGGAACCCGATCTTTCCATAACTGACGATTGATTGAGATAGCTGCTGGACTTATTGCCTAGTCCGTAATTTGCTAGGCATTTTAAGACTGAACATATGCTCCTGCATAGCTTCGTCTAGTCTGTTTTTGAAGATGTTCATACTCGGAGCTTCAACGATGCTATCAGACTAAGTAAACAACTTAGAATTGTAAACGGTTCAAGGCATATTTTAGTACTCGAGAGATTAGAGTAACCTACACCGAGTTGATTCCAAAGTAAAAATGAAACGAAATCATTTCAATCTAAAAAAGTTTGAGGTGGAGACATCAATCAAGGTTTACAGACATTAACTGCAATTTCAGAAATGGCTAACTAAGCCCAACTTCCATGGGAAGATGTTTTTACTGCTTATTTTTATTGCTGTTTGAAGAAGTGCTGCTTAAATAAACACACTGCGTTACAAGTGCAGCCTACAATGGCCTCAGTCTGCGACGTTGCGATCTTGTACTTGTGCGGATAGGAAATTGCGCGCTGTCATGCAGCTCTTGTCACACGGTCATGTTAAACGTGTAACTTTTTTTCTCAGATTACATGAAGAGTTTTTGCATTTAGCTGTGCCACGTATTACTGAGCCACCAGTACGAGCGACCTCACAACAATATAGTTACTCAGCTGTTGTTTCAAAATCTAAATGACTCCGCATTCTAAATCAAACGACTGTTCATACTGTTCATGTGATGGTAAAATTTCGATTCAACAATGCACGAGATATCATAGCTTCACAACAAAATAAAATTCCTAACGTGCAAAATGTGAATATCTGCGATTGATCATCGAAATGAAATATTGGTATCCACAATTTTGTATTGCAATAGATAAAGGAGCGTTTTTTTTTTAATTACTCTGTAGGGCATTTATTTAAATGTCAGTTGGTTCCCTGAACGCTCGCGGTATAATGACGAGAAGACAAGCACCCAGTTGTTCTACCAACGTGGAACAATGACCAACGATGGCGTAGAAGAAGAGTTCCTGCATCGAACACATTTGAATCTATTGCCCACCGCAGCACTGTGCCGCGCAGGCCGAACGATACGTCAAGTCGATGCAATAAAGTGGCGTGGTCGACCGTGTCAAACGCTACCGACGCTCAAGCAAAGCCAGTGCCGCAATGTCGCCGCGGTCAATTATTGCTCGCGCAATATCTGAAAGAACTTTCAGCATAGCGGTTTCCGTCGAGTGGAGATGGCGGTATGCAGACTGGAGGCGAGACTTGATATCGGACTGCTGATGATGGTTGTTCAGTTGTCGGGCCTCACAGCGTTCCAGGAACTTCCGCTAAATCGGCAGGTTGGAGATTGGTCGATATGATTTGGGATCGGAAGCGTTTGCTAAGAACGGGGTTTTGGTCGAGGTAGGGACTTGATCTTCGATGTGACGTTATGCTCTAGGAGCTTATAGCACATCAGGCCATGAAGATGGGTTGTAGTTGGCTGCCTGACCACAGTCTTCCTTCTATCGGCTGCACCAGGACGTGCGTGCAAATGCCAGGGACGTCTGCTGTGGACAGCGACTTGTTGAATAGAGTCGTCAGTGCATATGTACCAGTTCAGCGGCCGTTTCTCTGATAAGTCGACATTGGATTTTCTCCGGACCAGCGGCTATACCGGGGTTTCGGCTGGAAAGGAAAAGAGTTAACTGATTTTAGCGGTGGACACAGGGGTATCTGAAAAGTTGGACGTGCGGGCTATAAGCCAAAGATTGCACGTGGGAGAGTTCTCCTCTGGTGAAGGCAATGCAAAATTAGTCGGTGAGGATGCTTGCCTTCGCCCTGCTGCCGCTGAACGTAATGAAGTCGCGTCTAAATCAGCGGGGCGACATTCATCGTACCGCATAGCTCGCACCTAATAAGACCCTAGGGTTATTTGGAAGAGGATATCCTTTTCCATGTCTTCTTCTTGTACGTCCTCTTCCACAAAGCGCTTAATGTACTGCTGTTAGCACTGTCTGTTTGAATGTCGTGCTTCTTTATTCAATTCTTTGCAGCGAACTCAACCGTACTCCCAGTTGACAGACATCGCCTTCCTCCAAGCCCTCTTCTTACATCTCAATAATACCTTCTTTTGGGTGTTCTATCATTGTGGGTTTATTGGTGGGCGATCAGCTGTAGACTAATACTATGAATTCGATAAAATGGTAGTAAATTACCCTGGTTTAGAATCTCAACAATGCATCGTGTTTATATCCATCATTCCGTCGAAAAATATTGTGTGGTTACTAAAAATTATAAATCATATAAGGAACAAACTTTTTAAAGCCTAATGAGCCCACTCATCAAGGAGCAAGACTTACAGTTATTGTTGGTGCATCCACGCGTGATGCATACTTGAATCATGACGTTCAAGTTTTTTCTGTAAGATAAGATAGCTGCGAGTTACAGACGATCTGAATTAATTATTAGTTCAACCCAAGCAAATGACCTTCGATACATTTTGGTTATTCTCTGCAATGATGCAAAAAATTCACCCATGAATGGATATTTTCAAAATAATATAACTCGCCCGAGTTATCTATGAATATTCTTGGCCAGTTCGTGACTTTGATCCAAAACAATTTACTCCGCATAGGATTATAATGCGCTGTAATCATTAAGAGTTGCATTCCGATCCTTTTCATTATAATTTTACACAATATATCGAATCATTATTTTCTTGCTCCATGTATGTGTTTCGGTGGAAGTCATGCAACTTTTCATTTTCCGACGACTGTCATTTGACTCAGTTATGGGAACATTTTTATCAGGTGCACTTAGTTGACAGGTTTTGTGGGCATATAAGGTAATGCCCAACAACCTTGGAGATCTCCACGCCAATCACATCGTTGTTATCATGAATGACCTTTATAGTGCACCTATAATTCTCCCTATGCCACATTGAGCGTCTGAAGAACGTTGTCAGATGAACTGCGAGAGTCGGCAAAGCAGGTAAGGCTGGTAATTTCTGAAGCACATGATTTATCTCAATTATCATATTTTTCTAAGTGTGTCAGAATATCTTGTTTCATGACGATCGCTATCGGATGTCGAAGTCAAGCAGAAGTTTGTTTTTTTAATGAACATATTTTTTCACAAGAAATTGGGCCGGTCACATGAACGTTTAATCTGTCAGTAACACTTATACAAGATCACCTATACATTCCCAAGATGTGTATAGCCCAAGTGGAAGTGGAATATTAAGGGGACCGACCTCCTCATACGAAAACTTCTACAGTTATTATCCGATTGTCATGAAACTTCACATACATACGTAAAATGTAAAAAAAAAAACATTTTGCTCCAATGAATTTTTCGAAAAAATTGATAGAAAACGTGAAATTCATAGAAAACATGGTCCGTTTGCCCCATGTTACCCTACTATGGACAGTTAAACTTTACGTTAATAAAACCTACTAGTTCTATAGCTTAAGCGTCATAGCTAGTTTTTTTAGTATAACTTCTTAATTATCTCAGTATAATAATTTCTCATTTTTATTTTATGTCCAAAATAAGTAAAAAAAATTGTGCAAGCTGAAATAAAAAAGGTTTTTCAATCACATTCATCATTCATATGTCTGATATTTTATCTTTTTGTCTACACAGCTGACGTTCTCTTATTTAATCTTAGAAATAGTTTTCCAAAGCTGACCTTCATAATTAATGATTTTCTGAGCATAATGACTTGTTCCCTACTAATTTTACATCAGACAAATACATTTATGCCAAATTTTATCCGTAGAAGAAGAAAAAAAGAAACGCTGAGAATTCATCGGACTTTAAAAAGCATAAAATTATCGATAAAATGGTATTTTTATTACAAAATATTGCAATATTTCTTAATTTATATAATTTAGCTCATAATATAGATATAATTTTATTTATTAGCTAAAAAATTGGTTTTTGGCAACAAAACTGTTCCAGTCTACTAATTCAAACCGCTGCATATCAACATATAGTTTACTTTGGCGGCCATTTTGAAAATCACTGATTTGAAGCCTTTCCACCAATTATATTTCAGAGGATTTTTTATATGTCTTTTCTGAGGCCTTTCTCCATGTTATAGTGATGGATAAAATTCTTTTGTAATTTGTTCTAGGTTGACCCCTTTTTTCGCTAGGTTTCCTGGACTATAATTTGACTGCGTCTGCTGCGAACTCAAACAGTGCCAATCTTCGAGTACTTCCAAGAAATTAAATGAACGTTATTTAATTTCAGGTCTTACAACAGTAAGCTAGATGACTCGTTGAATTGAAATTGTTTTTAACTTACACCTCCGTTTGAATGCCCAAGTTGGTGCACAAATAGTTTCCGATGAGCTCCGCTGGGTCTGAGGCTTCTTTATCTAATTTCAAGTGCTATCTTCATTGCAGGTTTCAGCTGCTTTATAAACATATTCATGTTATAAAATCAAGAAGACCATACAATGTTTTCCACGTGCGGTGATATCTTGGCTTTCACTTTTAGTTTAAAAATTTTGAGCTGGCTTGTACCCAGAGGGCATATTCCACCTAAATTAAATTTTCAGATGTATTCTGTTTTTACATCGGGAAAAATGCCAATAATTTTATGACAGTTAAATCAGAATAAACTATTTCCTCAGGCTGCATTTGGACAACTCACTGCGCATCGGATGAAGCATAATGGCCGGTGCGCCACTCAACGTTAACACGAAGGCTCACAACCTCGTCACTGAAGAACGCGTCAAAGCTGCACTTCGGGAAGACAAAGGCCCTAACGCCAGATACAAATCCTTTGAAATAATCGACTTCTGCTCTAAAGGAGATAACTACGCTTGCTTTGTTACGAGCGTGAAAGTCTTCTACACTCATGGAGGGGAAGAATCGTCAGTGACGTACGTGGTCAAAATCAACCCAGGCAACGAAACGGAAGGGTTTGAATTCTTCGCAGAACTTGCTTTCAGAAAAGAGGGTAAATTCTACTACGAGCTTGCTCCTGCATTGAACAACATTTTGCTGGAACTGAAAATGCCGCGTTTAAAATTTGCAGCATGCTATCACGCATTCTTTGAGCCTAAAAAAGAGATAATTTTCCTCGAGGACAAGAGAAAAGACAATTTCAAGATGGCGGACCGCATGGTTGGTCTCGACGAAAAGCACGTTTATCTTGTCGTAAAAGAGTTAGCACGCCTGCATGCCGCCTCCATCTTGCTCGAGGAGAGCCTTGGCTACGAACAGTTCCAAGAGAAGTATCCGTACTTGGAAGATTGCTTTACCAGCGAGTCTGCAATAAAAAAAGCTCCATTATTCAAAGAAGCTTTCCCCAGCTACCTGCAGAACGCGGCTGATATAACCGATCAGCTGAGAAACTACGACAACGTTTCTGCTGCGCTACGTAAACTAGCGCCTGACTCCTTCGGTCTTCTCAAGAAAGTCGTGGAAGACTGCGACCCTCGGTTCCGTGCGGTGAACCATGGCGATTGCTGGAACAACAATCTTCTGTTCAAGTGAGTTCCCCTTTTTTTCGTCCTATTCAGTAATTTTATCGTATGGGGTACATGCTTTGATGAAAGATCTGCTCTGAATTATTAATGAATCGAATAATAAATTTCCCTTATTGAGGTACACAAAATAAATGTTGGTCCATTTTATTTATATTACTCAATATTTATACCACGGAAAACGTTAAAATTAGCTTATATTCAAAATATGACCGTTTTAAATTGAATAATTCAAATCTTAAAAACACATGAAGTTATCAGAAATTTACATTAAAACATTTTACATTTCAGGTACAAAGATGGCGAAGTCGTAGACGTTTGCCTCCTGGACCTCCAAATCAACCGCCACGCTTCGCTTGCGCTCGATTTAAACTACTTTTTCTTCACGAGCCTGAACGGCGACACGAGGAGGAAAGGCCTGACTGCCTTCCTAACCTCCTACTACGACTCCTTCAAGGAGGTCTTCAGTGCCGCCGACAAGCCCATGAAGTTCACCTTTGAGGAGCTCGTCGCAGAGTACCGCAACAAACACATGTTTGGACTACTCATGGCACTCATGGTCGTGCCTATCGTGATTATGAATCCTAAGGACGCTCCTGATTTTAGTGAAATGGGCGATGGCGACATTCAGGAGGCGATGAAAGAGTTTCAGCAAAAAGTGCTCAAAATGGTTGACACAAATCCCTTGCTTAAACCTAGATTTCTTGACATGTTCAATGAGATGATAGAACATAGAGTTCTTGACGCGTAGTGGACGGAACACAGTTTTCAAACAATGAAATTTTAAATTTTTTTAATTCAGTGACGCTTTTTCTTCTTAAAAAAGTGTCATGTGTCGCTTTATCTCGAAATGAAAGTACTAGTAATTACTGTACATGTAATTCATGTTCTATATCACGTACACGTGTTTACTTTGACCTGCTGGAGCTAATTTGCTGATATTCTGTGAGATATCTTATCGTGGATGCCCACCAACCGCATCATAGATACGGCCAGAGCCACAGACACGACGCGGGCATTGTAAGCTTTTTAATCGCCACCCGATATTTTGTTGGCTTTCTGATTCAAAGCGATCGTAGGTCTCTGAAATTGCATATAAGGATTGATTTCTACTTTTGATTGAGGGTTCGGGAAAGAGATTGAAAACATCCGAGTCATTTTGCGTAAGATATGGATAGTAATATGGAACTTCATGTATGTAATAGATTGAATTTTGCTCTAGAAGGATGCTAAGAAAGGGGATGGGGAGAGTATCATGAAACGTCTTTTATTGTCGATATTCAATTCCCGCATGTACACTGATACACACAAATAGCGAAGTGTCGGCAATGAACAGTTGTTCTCGATCATCTTAGGACTGATCAATAATCAGCTTCAAACATATTTGATTCAAGGTGAAAGATATGCACCGATGTTGGGTTTAATTCGGGTTTCTAGTCTCTGTAGGCTACTATGTCCTTGAATTCCCTACGCTATGCATCCTGCGCAGTATGCTGCTTGACATAGCGAACGCTCAGTTCCGTTACAGCTTTGACCTTGTAACTGCTCGCTGTAATATCCGTCCTTGCTCTAACACAATACTTGGTCTGAAGCCGCGGCAGTTACGATAAACATCGAACGTACGGGTTTTAAATATGGGTATAGATTGAGTAATATCTTAACAGGCCATATATATGCAATTCGAGTAAATATATCAATATTATAATCATTTTTCAAATCCAACTCTAGCAAGAACAAAAGTAGATTTATGAAATTTGTTTATATGAAATGGTATGGTTTCATTCGTATCTATTGCATAATCATCGATAGCTAAAGTTCAAAATTTACTCAATTGTGATGACCTTTGCTTCAATATCAATGTTAATTATTTGTTTCTCTCAAGATCTTCAACTTGGGCCCTGGGAAATGAGCTGATATACCAAGTAAGAAATGTCTGTTAGAGTAATTTTTTATGTTGGCTTTCAAATTTGTTTAATGACTATTTTCTACTGACTGCGAGCCGGCAGAACCTTCAATATGAAAACCTTACAGCTCAGAAATTATCTCGACTCTAGTTATATTTTTACTACAGGGTGATTCACGGAAACCATCTGTTGTGTATTTCGCACCAAGCAGCCCGACGTTGTAGGAAAGTAGAAGAGAGTATTTCATATGAAAGGCAAGGTCATGAAGTTTCGTGTCCCGCCTAGTCAGTTGCGACTATGCATTGGACAAGTCAGTAGCGTGCGTTTGCTGTCGAAGCGTACATTTCTAATGGGCTTTCTACTATCGCTACTGAACGAGCATTCCGTTCTCGGTTCCGTATTCGTCTTTCAGGCCGGGTTCCTGATCGGAAATAAATTGTTAAGTGGGTGAACACATTTAGGGCAAGTTACCTTATATAAAGTGTTTACAATGGATGTCCAAGGACCCTAACTCATTTGAGTAACAACATACACCAAAGCTTCCCCAACATACCCGTCAATATGCTTCAGCGAGTTTAGGGGAACTTCAAAAATCGAATAACTGAATGCATTATTAACAATGAAAGCCGTCATTTGATTGATGTCATGTTTAAAACTAAGTGATACAACAATTCGGATCATGTATTTTTAGCGTATTTTCTCATTTATGGAAAAAATGCACTATTGTGCTCGCCATGTCCGTCTGTCTGTCCGTCCGTCCGTGACCTCAAGTTTTCGTCGACGGGAAAATGCGCTCTCTGTAACTCACTGCAGTGAGTACTGAGTTATATTGTAATGATATCTTTACAAGTTCTTTTTTTATTGAGCTTTCAAATCAGGAAGTTTCCAAGAATCGTCCTGTGTATTTGATGATGAATTTCAAGAAGGCTTGTTCTAATCACTTATTTAATTGATCAGAATGTACGATGACTGATTTGATGAATAGATTTTCTATTCGCTGTTCCATATTTTGCACAGGGATAAAAAGTATTCAAATTCGGTGTGTAAGGATAATCCTGGGATTGCTATTATGTTGGATTTCATCGCTATTCAGCAATATTTGCATCCACTGATTGATATGTAGAGCATGCATTTTCATAATAATATTAGCAATCATGGGGACTCTTTACGAATTATACAAATTTTGGTAAACGTAATTCAGTAATTTTATATGCACCTCACAAAACATGTTTAAAATTTGTCATTATTATACTAAGAAATGATTGTGACCAGCTTTGTATGCAGCGGGTCACGTCTTGCTTTTCAATACCTTAATTTGAGTTTGTGCGAGTGTGTTTTCATTTTGTATTGTTCAATTTAAATGCTTGTTAGCACTTTTGTGTTCGCCCGTCTAAGATATTACTTAACTGGCTTTACGCCAGTGGTTTGAAACCCGTAGGGTTATTGGCTCCAATTGAGCTTCGGAGTTAAGCCTTTTTTGTCATTTGCCTTAGGGCAGTGAATTAACTTGCATGCTTGCATGAGCTTAACTCTCTTCAAGTAAGAGCGAACACTCTTATTACTGTTTTTAGCGCATTTTCTCATTTATGGAAAAAATGCACTATTGTGCTCGCCATGCCCTTTTTTCCGTCTGTCTGTCTGTCCGTCCGTCTGTCCGTGACCTCAAGTTTTCGTAGACGAGAAAATGCGCTCTCTGTCACTCACTGCAGTGAGTACTGAGTTATGTTTTTTACTATTTTCTTTCTTATAGTTCTCTACATTTTGATTATCTAATTGAAAGTGTTATCATTATACTGATTTTACATGAATCATACTGAAATTCATTGCATTATACCTTGGATTCGTTATTTCTAGGCTTAAACTGTTTATCAGTCCCGTTCAGAAAAGGATCCACCCAACCTCATTTACTTTCAAATTGGACATCAGGCCTGCCGCTTCTATTTGTTAGAGCTGCTGCTCATCCTCAATTGTTAAGTTCTATTATCACCGGCAATTATATGAAGATAATTGGAGAAAGAGAGAGAGAGACGTTCAACCTGAAACAGTGACCCATTCATTTGAATTTCAATATTGTGTTCTCGATTTCTAGCTTTCGAACCAAAACTTATATCTGCGTTTTCTACTATATACAGTGAGTTTCACATCGTGCTTCTCGTTTCCTCTTGGCTTCGTTCTGCGAACCAATTCTTTTTACGGAACCGCTTCAATAAAAGTTTCAACGATTTCATTTTTCTTTGATTTCCATTTGCACCAAAATTCAATAATTAATTGTTCATGTTTAACATAGGAGACACTGGATTCTTTAGAAGTATTAATTGCCTTTAAAAAGTAATTTTTGAACGCGTATTATTTTTTGACTTTTATTAATAATTACGGAACAAGAAAAATAAATTAAATAGAAACACATTAATTGCAGTGCCAGTTACAATAAAACGTATTTGTGACTATAATCAATCATCATTTACAGATGAAAATTCATGAAAAACTATTATTAAATGTCTGTTGTTATAATAGTTACCTTGATTACAGGATATATAACAAGTAAGATCTACCTCATTTAATCTACCAGCTCAGTGCAATCAAGCAATTAAAATATTGAAATTAAAAAACTCAACTGCAATAATTTGACACCAAATATATAAGACGCCAGAGGTTGTTTATGGAAGATGACATCCATTTCTTGTTCGTCCTCTTCCACAGAGCGCTTGATGCACTGCTTATAGTATCCTTAGTATTCTTAGTATTTGTTTGGGACATAGCAGTCCCAGGCCACGATGGATCGCCGCCTCTGATTATCGTTCATCCGCCCTCATTTGGGCCACCTGATGCACGATGCTGTTGCTTGCTTCTCGCCACTGGTAGTGTTATCGCTAAGTGAACGTAGGTACCTACGCTCTATTTTCTTGTCTATGATTGGTGGATTTTGTTTGAGAGGCCGTCAATGACTGGCTGAACTTAGGATCTCTTAACTTTTTTTGAAAGTATAGGCCCACTGGTATAGCACTGTCTGTTGGGGTGCCGTGCTTCTTTTTTCAATTCTTCGCATCGCACTAAACCCTTATCCCAGTTGGTAGACTTCGCCTTTCTCCAGGCCCTCCTTTTATATCTCAACTATAGCTTCCTTTGGTTGCTTCATCCATGTGGATTTCTTGGTGAGCGTTCAGCTGAAGAGAATTAGATAAAACGATAGTAAATTACCCAGTTGAAGAATCTCAAAAAATTTTCGTGTTCACATCGTCGAATAATAGTGCCTGTTCACTAAAAATTATCCAGCAAATAAATCAAAAAACTTTTTTATCGTTAATGAGTCCACTCAACAAGAAGCGAGACTTGCATTTTTTGTTAGTGTATCCACCCGTGATGCAAACAGTTGGATTATGACGTTCAAGTTTTTCTGCACGATAAGATAGCTGCGATTTACAGTTGATCCGAATTAATTATTTGTTCAACCCAATCAAATGACCTTCAATACAATTTGGTTATTATCAGCAATGATGCCAAAAATTCTCAAATGAATGCATATTTTCAAAAAATTCTTTTTCGCCCAAATTATATATGATTATTCGTGGCAGGTTGCTGTCTTTGTTCAAAACAATTTACTCGGCATAGAATTAGAATGCGCTGTATTCATTATGAGCTGCATTCTGATCCTTTTCATTTCGTATTATTTTCACACGCTTTATCGAATAATTATTTTCTTGTTCCAATGTTTCCTCTTCCGACGATCGTCATTTGACATGTTATGAGAACATTACTATCATATTCCTTCGTTGACTGCTTGCGTGGGCATATAAGGTAATACGGCAAAGACCTTGGATATCATCAAGCCAATCACAACGTTATCATGAATGTGCCACATCTTTATCTATACTACTCCCTGTGCCACATTGAGCGTCGAAAAAAGTTGTCAGTTGAGCTGCGAGTGTCGGCGCAGAGGGTAAGGCTGGTAATTTCTGAAACACATTATTGATCTAAATTGCCTTATTTTTGCATGATTAAATGTGTAAGAATATCGTGTTTGATGACGATTGCTATTGGATGTCGAAGTGCAGCAGAAGTTGGGGTTTTAATGAATATATTGGGCCGTTATCATAAATGTTAAATGTGTCAGTAATACTTTTAAATGTACACCTGTACAGTGGGGAAAATAAGTATTTAGTCAGTCACCAATTGTGCAAGCAAGTTCTCTCACTTAAAATGATGAGAGATGCCTGTAATTGACATCACAGGTAGACCTCAACTATGAGAGACAAAATGTGAAGAAAATATGTGAGAAAATCATTTGTCGGACTTTTAAAAATATTGTTTGCAAATGATGGTGGAAAATGGTATTTGGTCATGCACCTACAAACAATCAAAATTTCTGGCTATCACAGACCTGTAACTTATTTGTTCAATAGACTTCACTTTCCCCCCATTCATTACCTGTATTAATGGAACCTGTTTGAAGTCGTTAGCAGTATAAAAGACACCTGCCCACAACCTCAGTCACACTAGAAACACTATGGTGAAGACGAAAGAGCTGTTGGAGGGCATCAGAAACCGAATTGTAGACTTTCACAAGGCTGGTAAGACTAAATCTGCAAGAGGCAAGCGGCTTGGTGTGAAGAAATCTACTGTGAGAGCAATAATCAGAAAATGGGAGACCTACAAGACCACTATTGATCTCCCTCGAGCTGTGTCTCCACGCAAGATCTTAGCCCGTGGGGTCAAAAACGATCACAATAACGGTGAGGAAAAATCCCAGAGAACCACAAGGGAGGATCTAGTGAATGACCTGCAGAAAGCTGCGACCAATGTTACAACGGCAAAGTTACATCAGCAACACACTGCGACGCAAGGGACTAAGATCTTGCAGTGCCAGACGTGTCCACATGCTTAAGCAAGTCCAAATCCAGGCACGTCTCAAGTTTGCTAGAGAGCATTTGTATGTTCCAGAAGAGTATTGGGAGAATTTCATATGGTCAGATGAAACTAACGTAGAACTATTTGGTAAAAACCTCGTTGTGTTTGGGGGGAAGTGAGTGCAGAGTTGCATTCAAAGAACACTATACCAACTGTAAAGCATGGGGGTGGCAACGTTATGTTTTGGGGTTGTTTTTCTGCAAAGAGACCAGTAGGTACGGCTGATCCCTGTAGATGAAGGAATGAATGGGGCCATGCATCGTGAGATTTTGGGAGCAAACCTCCTTCCATCAGCAAGCAATGGAGATGAAATGTGGCTGGGTCTTTCAGCATGACAATGATCCCATGCAAGCACACTGCCAGGGCAGCAAAGGAGTGGTTTCGTAAGAAACATTTCTAAGTCCTGGAGTGATATAGCCAGTCTCCCGATCTCAACCCAATCGAAAACCTTTGGAGGGAGTTGAAAGTCCGTATTGCCCGCTGACAGCCCCAAAACATCACTGCTCTACAGGAGATCTGCATGGGGGAATGGGCCAACATACCAGCAACAGCATGTACCAAACCTTGTAAAAGCTTGCAGAAAACGTTTGAGCTCTGTCATTGCCAACAAAGGTTAAAGTATTGAGATGAACTTTTGTTATTAACCAAATACATATTTTCCAACATTATTTGCAAATAGCATCTCCAAAAGTCCGACACAAATATTTCTCAAATTTTGTTTCATATTTTGTCTCTCATAGTTGAAGTCTACCTAAGATGTCAATTACAGGCCTCTCGCATCACTTCAAGGGGGAGAACTTGCACAATTATTGATGACTGAGTAAATTCTTATTTTTCCCACTGTACATTCCCTATGTGTGTAAGATTAGTGAAGTGGAATATTAAATTACCCACAAATAAATAAACTACTATAAAGGTGCTTCATCGTTTTCGGATACTATTTCGTCAGAACATTTATAGATTTTTCTGAAGCATCTCCATTAACATCGTTGACACCGATCATACTCGTAGCTGTTCTTGCTGTCTCCTTTGAGAGCGTCTGCTGTGAACTCAAACAGTATCAATGTTCAAGCAGATCCAAGAAATTAGATAAACGTTATTTAATTTCAGGTCGTCCTCTTTCAGATATTGCATGGCAAGCCAGATGACACCTTGAATTGAAACTGTTCTAATTTGCACCTTTTAAATGCTATCCTGTATCCTCATTGCATTTTGCGGCTGCTTTATAAAGCTATTCATGTTATAAAATCAAGAAATTCATACATAGTTTACCACGTGAAATGATATCTTCGCTTTGAATTTTATTTTGAAATTTTTTAGTTGGTTTGTTCCCAGAGGGTATATTTCACCGAAATTATTTTTTCATCTGTATTCTGTTTCCTCATCGGCAAAAATGTCAATGTGTTTTAATGAAAGTTAGATGAAAATAAACTATTTCCTCAGGCTGCATTTGGACAATTTACTGCGCATCGGATGAAGCATAATGGATGGTGCGTCACTCAACGTTAACACGAAGGCTCACAACCTCGTCACTGAAGAACGCGTCAAAGCTGCACTTCTGGAAGACAAAGGCCCTAACGCCAGATACAAATCCTTTGAAATAATCGACTTCTGCTCTAAAGGAGATAACTACGCTTGCTTTGTTACGAGCGTGAATGTCTTCTACACCCATGGAGGGGAATTATCGTCGGTTACGTACGTGGCCAAAATCAACCCCAGCAAAGAAACGGAAGTGTTTGAAATAATCGCAGAAGTTACTTTCAGAAAAGAGGGTAAATTCTACTACGAGCTTGCTCCTGCCTTGAACGACACTTTGCGGGAACTGAAAATGCCGCGCCTGAAATTTCCAGCATGCTATCATGCATTCTTTGACCCTAAAAGGCAAATTATTTTCCTCGAGGACAAGAGAAAAGATGGTTTCAAGATGGCGGACCGCATGGTTGGTCTCGACGACAAGCACGTTCATCTCGTCGTAAAAGAGTTGGCGCGCATGCATGCCGCATCCATCTTGCTCGAGGAGAGCCTTGGCTACGAACAGTTCCAAGAGAAGTACCCGTTTCTGGAAGATGCCTCAACCAGCGAGTCTGCAATAAAACAAGCTCCTTTTATCAAAGAAGCATTCCCCCACCACCTGTTGAACGGGGCTAACATAACTGATCAGCTGAGAACCTATGACAACGTTTCTGCTGCGCTACGTAAACTAGCGCCTGACTCCTTCGGTCTTCTCAAGAAAGTCGTGGAAGACTGCGACCCTCGGTTCCGTGTGGTAAACCATGGCGATTGCTGGAGCAACAATCTTCTGTTCAAGTGAGTTCCACCATAATTTCGTCCCATTCAGTCATTTTATCGTATGGGATACATGCTTCGACAAAAGATCTGCTCTGAATTATTAATTGATCTAATATTAAATTTTCGTTATTGAGGTACACCAAAAAAAATATTAAAGAATTTTATTTTATATTTATTCAATATATATACCACGTGAAAATTTTTAATTAGTTTATATTCAAAATATGAGCGCTATAAGAGGAATAATTCAAATCTAGAAAACACATAGAATCAAAAGAGTTACATTTAAAAAATTTTATGTGTCAGGTACAAAGATGGCGAGGTCGTAGACGTTTGCCTCCTGGACCTCCAGATCAACCGCCACGCTTCGCTTGCGCTCGATTTAAACTACTTTTTCTTCACGAGCCTGAACGGCGACACAAGGAGGAAAGGCCTGACTGCCTTCCTAACCTCCTACTACGACTCCTTCAAGGAAGTCTTCCGTGCCGCCGACAAGCCCATGAAGTTCACCTTTGAGGAGCTCGTTGCAGAGTACCGCAACAAACACATGTTCGGACTCCTCATGGCGCTCATGGTCGTGCCTGTCGTAATTATGAATCCTAAAGACGCTCCTGATTTCAGTGAAAGGGGCGATGGCGATATACAGGAGGCGATGAAAGAGTATCAGGAAAGGGTGCTCAAAACTGTAGCCACAAATCCATTGCTTAAACCTAGATTCCTTGACATGTTGGATGAGATGGTAGAACATGGAGTTCTTGACGCCTAGTGGGCGGAATACATTTTGCAAATAATGAAATTGATAAAGTTAATTATGTGACGCTATTTCTTCTTAAAAAAAGTATGCCATGTGTCGCTTTACCTCCAAATGAAAGTAATTATTGTACATTTTATACATGTTCTATATCACGTACAAGTATTTTATTTTGACCTGCCGAAGCTAGTTTACTGAAACTGGTGATACTGGTGAGATATCTTATCACGGATGCCTACCGACCGCATCATAGATACGGCCATGCAGAGACACTATTCGGGCTTTTCGTGCCATCGTCATCGAGTAATTTGTTGGCCTTCTGATTTAAAACTATCATAGTACCCTGTATTACTGGGAAAATTGCATGAAAGGATTGATTTTTACGTTTGATTGAGGGTCCAGAATATGGATTAAACACATTCAGCTCATTTTGTGAAAAATTCAGATAGTCTCCGTTCAGCCGTGGTCGAGAGTGGACACTCGTGTTTGTGGTCCCAACATTCCAAATTTTCAACTTTTACTGTGCCGTTTTCGGACCTCTTTTCGCATTTTTTATGACCCGTGTCAGAGATTGACCGAATTTCAGTGAAGTCAGTATATGAGAGTGCGAATAGAAAAAACAATCCTATAGTAAGTGTTTTTATTTTGAATAACGCGGACTTTTAGAGTCAGTGAGGGACGCTTGCTTGCGAGGGTAACGTGTGACAGCCTCGCCCACGCGGGACAATGCTGCCTTTGTTTTCTTGTCCAAGCCTACCTCTTCCCTGAACACCTAAGCCGCTGAGATCGCCGCTCTCTGAAAACCGCTTACTCTCAAGTCTGTAAAAGTGTTTTTTACAGCACTTTGGTAATTTGTACAATTTTTACTCAAATTGATTTCGGTTTTTAACTTGTGTTTATTAAGCTCTTGCATTTCAAGATGGCTGGTCAGAGAGGAAAAAGATTAATTGAAAAGGCCTCCAGTCCTGTTAAACCGAATGAGAAGATTAAGTTGCAAAATGAGCGAGAGGAAATTTGTAAATTTTGCAAGCTTATTTCGCTTAACGTCAATGATGCTACATTGGCCTGTGATCGTTGCAGGGATGTCATCTGCAAAAATTGTGCAAAGTTGAGCAAGACAGACTGTTCGGTTATTCACAAAAACATGACAGTACACTGGTACTGCCAGGACTGCCAGCAACCTGCACTTTGAGCTGTAAAAAGCGAAAAATTTGTGGATGAGAAGTGATCCTCTATGTTTTCTGTCTTTAAGGCCGAATCACAAGAAAGAATTGAGCTTGTTGCGTAGCGAATTACACTCGTTACGAAACGAGCTGGTGGAAATGAAAGCTCATCAGCACAAAACAGAAAATAGCGATAACACAGAAGGTAAAGGCTGCAAAGATGTCATCTCTGATCCCGCCAACGCGAGCACTCGTGAACTGTTGGATAGAGAGAGAAGAAAATTTATACTTGTTTGGTTTAACGTTCCCGAAAGCAATGCTCAGGATGCTGAGTTTATTACTGATTGCTGTGCCAATGCACTTAACGTCGTTGTGAATATAACGGCATGCAAGAGGCTGCGATCGAAAGACACTATCGCCTGTAGACCGCTGCTGGTAACTGTGTAGGATACAGCCCAGGTCGGACATGTGCTTAAGGCTGCGAGAAAACTAAGTGAATTACCAGAGTTTAAATCAGTTTTTGTTAAAAAGGATGCTACCCCTTTAGAGAGAGTAAATTTTCGCAAGAAATGGCAGGAGAGACTCGGGCGGAAAAACACGGAGACTCAGGTCAACCACTCTCGCGATGTCAAGATAACACCGGCCGCACGTACGGTCAGTCAGTGGAGCTGGTAGACAAGTAAGAAGTCATGTCCATAGATTCAGGCCTGTAAACAATGCAAGAAGTAAACGCATGCATCAAAGTGAATGTGCACCAAAAGATTTAAAATGTTTTTACAAAAATTCGGATTCTGTTTTGAACAAAAAAAGTGAGCTGTTAACTGTGATCAAAAACGAGTGCATAGACATTATTTGTATTACAGAAACACTCCCTAAAAGTCACAGGGGGAAAAGTGTACCTGTTTAATTTCAGTTGCCAGGTTTTGATTGTTTTCATAACTTAAATGAAGAGCAGTGCAGTAGAAGTGTAGCTTTGTGGGCTAGAACCTCTTATGGGGCCCAGCAAATCAAGTTATCTGCAGAGCATCAATCAGCTAGAGCAGTGGTTCCCAAAGTGGGCGATATCGCCCCCCCCCAGGGGCGGTGGAAAGATCTTGGGGGGCGATATGGAAGAAGAGGGCGGTAGGGGGGCGATAGTCTGAAGTCACTGTTAGAAGGTCGAACGTTTGTTTGACGATTTGTACACAACACGTGCAGCACATGACTCCCAGCGATGGTTTTCTCACCCAGATCTGTTTTTTTAACCTCTACTGGGTTTACGTCTCGGACAAATTAACGGCCAGACTCGCGGCTGTCTCACGGCCAATTTCCAAATTCAATGAACGTGTTCCAAGTTTCATAGAGTTGCGTTGATTAGTTTGAGAAATATTCCTTGATCATTGAATTTTTAAATTGGTCGTGAGACCGTCCACGAGTCTGGCCGTAAATTCGCCCGCGATGTCCTAGGTTTCTGGTGCTGAAACAGTTAAAACAGCTGAAAAACATATTGGTTCACTAAATGGGGTTCTATTTGTTAAATAAACATTTGTGTTCAACCTTTATCTTTTAAAATTGCAGCGTAATAAATTTCATGAAAGAGGCTTATGTCTGTGGGGGGCGCTAGAAATTCACTAGGAAGCCAAAGGGGGCGCCAGCCTGAAAAAGTTTGGGAACCACTGAGCTAGAGAATCAGTGTGGTGCGAACTTTCTCTCAAAGGCAAAGATAGCTTCCTCATAGGCGTCGTGTATAGATCACCAAACAGTTCCTCTGAAAACGATAAAGTACTAAACAGTCTTTTACCGAGCATGGCTTTCCGTAGGTCACACACGTTGATCGTTGGTGATTTTAATCATCCAGAGCTAGACTGGACAGATGGATCCTCTCCAAGGGATGAGAATCACCCAGCATCCTTGTTCATGGAGTTTGAGAGAAACTCCTTCCTAGTCCAGCACGTTACTAAGCCAACCCACTATAGAAGTAAACAGACTCCCAATATTCTAGACCTGGTGTTTACGAGTGATGAATCAATGTTAGATGAGCTTCGTCACGAGGCTCCATTGGGCAAAAGCCATCACCAATCATTGTTTTTCAGTCTTAAGTGCTGTACAGAGAAGACGCCTCGACAGCGTGAGCGTTTGGATTTTGCGAAAGGCGACTATGATAAACTCCGTGAAGCAGTGAATGCAGTGATTATTTCAAACTGTATAAAGGACATGAATGTGGCTGAGTCATGGTCATTTCTCAAGGACACGGTTATGTCTGCAGTTGATGCGTGTGTACCTAAAATTGAGCTTGGTGGCGCCAAAAAACTCTGTGGATGAACAGTACAGTTCTAGCTAAGCTGAAAACAAAAATGGAAGCCAACCAGCGTTATTTACAGACTCGTAGCGATGCTGACTATAACATATACGCAAGAGCTCGAAATCAAGCTAAAGAAAGCTGTCGCACCGCAATAAAAACCCTCGAAAAAAATATTGCTAAAATTGCAAAAAGAACCCGAAAGCCTTCTTTTTGTACGCTAGCTCGAAGTGCAAGATGAAGAACGGTATTTCTGATTTGAAAGTAGATCAACGAAAGATATCCTCTGATGAGGGCACGGCTAACGTTCTTAATCAGTTTTTCAGTAGAAAGGGACTTGAACAGTATTCCAGTATTATTCCTGAAGAGGACTTGAACAGTATTCCAGCTATTGAGGAGCGCCCAGTCGGCTCTAAATTAACAAGTTTTGAAATACAAGAAGAAGGGGTTCTCAAGCGCCTTATCGCTGTAAATCCAAACAAGTCAAGTGGACCAGACGGCTTCCACCCCAGATTACTCAAAGAGTTAGCACTTAGCAACTGTCCTAGCCGGTCCCTTGACGTAATTTTTTCGAAAAACTTTGGACGAAGGGATCTTGCCGGCTGACTGGAAAGAAGCTCAAGTGACACCATTATTCGAAAAAGGTGACAAAAGCTGCCCGGGCAACTATCGCCCTGTCAGTTTGACAAGTGTCATTTGCAAGGTAATGGAATCTGTTGTAAGGGATCGATTGATAGATCATTTGACTGCTAATAATCTTCTATCAGACTGTCAACATGGCTTTCTTGCAGGGAGATCCTGCACCACGAACCTCTTGTCTACTCTGAACGAATGGACCCGCCTGCTGGACGAAAGGGAGCCAGAAGATGCAGTGTACCTCGATTTTGACAAGGCATTTGACAGTGTCCCACATGAGCGGCTGTTGCGGAAATTGCAGTCTTTGGGAATTGACAGCAATGTACTCAAATGGATCCGAGATTTCTATTAGGGAGACGTCAACGTGTCAGTATTAATGGGTCCGTATCAGACTGGGCTCCAGTGCGCAGCGGCGTGCCACAAGAAAGCGTTCTCGGGCCTGTTTTATTCGTTGCGTTTATAAACGATCTGCCAGAAGCTGTGTCTAGCGTGTGCTCGATGTATGCTGACGACACAAAAATGTATAATACAGTGAAGAATACGTCGCAAAAAGTACAGTTACATGGTGATCTTGACAGGCTGGTTGACTGGGCTGATAAGTGGCAGCTGCGTTTTAACGCTGACAAATGTAAAGTAATCCACCTTGGCAAGAGTAATGAACAGCAAGATTACAGTATGAGAAGACACGGTTGCAACGACAGAGCGATGATGTCGACAATGGAAAAAGATTTAGGAGTTAATGTCGACAATGAGTTGAAATTTTCTAAGCATATTGAAGGTCAAGTTAATAAAGCCAATAAACGACTTGGACTGATCAGACGCTCTTTCGAGTTCCTAGATGCAGAAGCGATGAAGCAGTTGTTTGTTGCTGTCGTGCGCCCGAACCTAGAGTTTGGAAACGTCGTGTGGTCACCGAAACTTGAAAAGGACAAAAATTTTAATAGAGAGTGTTCAAAGACGTGCAACAAGCATAATTCCGGGCTTGAAAGGCAAGTCCTATGAGGAAAGATTAAAGATTACGAAGCTTCCAAGCCTCAGTTATCGACGTCTGCGCGGGGAACTCATTGAAGCATACAAGTA